AAATGTGGGAAAAATAGGGAAAAATGAGGGGAAAATGGGAAAAATAGGGGGGAAATTGAGAGAAAATGGGAAAAATGGGAAGAAATTGAAAAAATAGGGGGAAAATGGGAAAAATAGGGGGAAATGGGGAGAAAATTGGGAAAAATGGAAGGAAAATTAGGAGAAAATGGGAAGAAATGGAAAAAATTGGGGGGAGTTCAGAACAAATGAGGGGAAAATGGGAATAAAATATGGGAAAAGTGGGAGAAAATAGGGAAAAATTGGGAAAATTGGGGGGAAATCGTGTTTGGAATGGTGGGAATGGGTAATGGGAATGTTGGGATTTGAGGAGGGAAAAGAAAAGCAGGAAAAAAAAAGGAGGAAGGAAGAAAAAACTTGGGAAAAATCCTGGGAAAGGAAAAAAAAAAATAAAAAAAAAGATGAAAAAAATGGAAGAGGGAAGAAAAAATTCTGGAAAAATGATGGAAAAGGGAAAGGAGTGAGGAGAAAGTTTGGAAAAGCTGCTGCTCGAGGATTCCCGGGATTCTGATCCGGAATTCCAAACATTCCCGGGGTTTGTCCTTTCCCTCCTCATCCTCCCCCTGGATTTGGGATGTTGGGAATTTCCTTCCCATTCCCAGGGAATTCCTCAGCTCCTCCCTCTGGAATTTCTCCTCTCTAGGGGTTAATTCCTCCCAAAATTCCACAGGATTTTTGGGATTTACTCCGAGATTCCCCAAAGGTTTCCCGGATCCTCTGGAAAAGATTCCGGCACCTCCGGATTTGGGAATCCCTCCCTCCCCTCTGGAATTCCAGGCCTTTTCCAAACCCTTTTCCAGGGAAAATTCCTCGTGCTGGAGCAGTTTGGGAATTTGAATTCCTTTATCCCGAGGGGAAAAAAAAGCAGGAATGTTCTAATCCCAAAATTCTGAATTCCAGGGGTGATTCCTTCCCATGGATTCCGGGATTTTCCTTCCCTGAGGATTCCCAGGATTTATCTCAGCCTGGAATGGGATCAAAGAGAATCCTGGGATTCCCTGAGCGATTCCAGAGGAAATCCAGGAATTCCATCATGGGAAAATCCTGGGATTCCTTCAAAGAAAATCCAGGAATTCCCTCAGCAATTCCAGAGAAAATCCAGGAATTCTCTCACAGGAAAATCCCAGGAATTCCCTCACAGAAAATCCCAGGATTCCTTTGGCAATTCCAGAGGAAATCCAGGAATTCTCTCACAGGAAAATCCCGGGATTCCTTCAGCAATTCCAGAGGAAATCCAGGAATTCCATCATGGGAAAATCCTGGGATTCCTTCAAAGAAAATCCAGGAATTCCCTCCTGGAAAATCCTGGGATTCCTTTGAGGAAAATCCCAGGATTCCCTCAGCAATTCTGGAGAATTCTGGGATTCCTACACAGAAAATCCAGGAATTCCCTCAACAATTCCAGAGGAAATCCAGGAATTCCCTCACAGGAAAATCCCAGGATTCCATCAAAGAAAATCCAGGAATTCCCTCCTGGGAAAATCCCAGGATTCCATCAAAGAAAATCCAGGGATTCCCTCAGCAATTCCAGTGAGAATCCCAGGATTCCTTTGGCAATTCCAGAGGAAATCCAGGAATTCCCTCACAGGAAAATCCCGGGATTCCTTCAGCAATTCCATAGGAAATCCCGGAATTCCATCATGGGAAAATCCCAGGATTCCATCACAGAAAATCCCGGGATTCCCTCAGCAATTCAGAGGAAATCCAGGGATTCTCTCAACAATTCCAGAGGAAATCCAGGAATTCTCTCACAGGAAAATCCCGGGATTCCTTCAGCAATTCCAGAGGAAATCCAGGAATTCCATCATGGGAAAATCCTGGGATTCCTTCAAAGAAAATCCAGGAATTCCCTCCTGGAAAATCCTGGGATTCCTTTGAGGAAAATCCCGGGATTCCTTCAGCAATTCCAGAGGAAATCCAGGAATTCTCTCACAGGAAAATCCCAGGATTCCTTCAAAGAAAATCCAGGAATTCCCTCCTGGAAAATCCTGGGATTCCTTCAAAGAAAATCCAGGAATTCCCTCAGCAATTCCAGAGGAAATCCAGGGATTCCATCATGGGAAAATCCCGGGATTCCTTCAAAGAAAATCCAGGAATTCCCTCCTGGAAAATCCTGGGATTCCTTTGAGGAAAATCCCGGGATTCCTTCAGCAATTCCAGAGGAAATCCAGGAATTCCCTCACAGGAAAATCCCGGGATTCCTTCAGCAATTCCAGAGGAAATCCAGGAATTCCCTCACAGGAAAATCCCGGGATTCCTTCAGCAATTCCAGAGGAAATCCAGGAATTCCATCATGGGAAAACCCCAGGATTCCTTCACAGAAAATCCCAGGATTCCCTCAACAATTCCAGAGAAAATCCAGGAATTCCCTCAGCAATTCCAGAGGAAATCCAGGAATTCCCTCCTGGAAAATCCCAGGATTCCTTTGAGGAAAATCCCAGGATTCCCCTCAGCAATTCTGGAGAATTCTGGGATTCCTTCACAGAAAATCCAGGAATTCCCTCAGCAATTCCAGAGGAAATCCAGGAATTCTCTCACAGGAAAATCCCAGGATTCCATCAAAGAAAATCCAGGAATTCCCTCAACAATTCCAGAGTAAATCCAGGAATTCCCTCACAGGAAAATCCCAGGATTCCATCAAAGAAAATCCCAGGATTCCTTTGGCAATTCCAGAGGAAATCCAGGAATTCCCTCACAGGAAAATCCCGGGATTCCTTCAGCAATTCCATAGGAAATCCCGGAATTCCATCATGGGAAAATCCCAGGATTCCATCACAGAAAATCCCGGGATTCCCTCAGCAATTCAGAGGAAATCCAGGAATTCTCTCAACAATTCCAGAGGAAATCCAGGAATTCTCTCACAGGAAAATCCCAGGATTCCATCAAAGAAAATCCAGGAATTCCCTCCTGGGAAAATCCCAGGATTCCATCAAAGAAAATCCAGGGATTCCCTCAGCAATTCCAGTGAGAATCCCAGGATTCCTTTGGCAATTCCAGAGGAAATCCAGGAATTCCCTCATGGGAAAACCCCAGGATTCCTTCAAAGAAAATCCAGGAATTCCCTCAAAAATTCCAGAGGAAATCCCGGAATTCCACCATGGGAAAACCCCAGGATTCCCTCACAGAAAATCCCGGGATTCCCTCAGCAATTCCAGCGGAAATCCAGGGATTCCCTCACAGGAAAATCCCAGGATTCCATCAAAGAAAATCCAGGAATTCCCTCCTGGAAAATCCCGGGATTCCATTGAGGAAAATCCCAGGATTCCCCTCAGCAATTCTGGAGAATTCTGGGATTCCTTCAAAGAAAATCCAGGAATTCCCTCAGCAATTCCAGAGGAAATCCAGGAATTCCCTCCTGGAAAATCCCAGGAATTCCCTCACAGAAAATCCCAGGATTCCCTCAGCAATTCCAGAGGAAATCCAGGAATTCCCTCACAGGAAAATCCCGGGATTCCTTCAGCAGTTCCATAGGAAATCCCGGAATTCCATCATGGGAAAATCCCAGGATTCCATCACAGAAAATCCCAGGATTCCCTCAACAATTCCAGAACCAATTCCCCCTTTTCCAAAGGCACCACCGGGATCATCGATCCCCTCTCTCCCATCCCCCCCTTTTCCCTTATCCCTAAAACCCGTGGGAGCTGGGCACTTCCCGGGATTTTCCAGGGGATTTCCCGGGATTTTCCAGGATTTTCCAGGATTTTCCCGGGATTTCCCGGGATTTCCTGGGATTTTCCAGGGGATTTCCCGGGATTTCCCGGGATTTTCCAGGGGATTTCTCGGGATTTCCCGGGATTTTCCAGGATTTCCCCGGGGATTTCCCGGGATTTTCCAGGATTTCCCGGGATTTTCCAGGATTTCCCGGGATTTCCCGGATTTCCCAGGATTTTCCCAGGATTTCCCGGGATTTTCCAGGGGATTTCCCGGGATTTCCCGGGATTTCCCGGGATTTTCCAGGGGATTTCCCAGGGATTTCCCGGGATTTTCCAGGATTTTCCTGGGATTTCCCGGGATTTTCCAGGATTTCCCCGGGGATTTCCCAGGATTTCCCAGGATTTTCCTGGGATTTCCCGGGATTTCCTGGGATTTTCCAGGGGATTTCCCGGGATTTCCCGGGATTTTCCAGGATTTCCCCGGGGATTTCCCAGGGGATTTCCCGGGATTTCCTGGGATTTTCCAGGGGATTTCCCGGGATTTCCCGGGATTTTCCAGGATTTCCCCGGGGATTTCCCGGGATTTTCCAGGATTTTCCCGGGATTTCCCCGGGGATTTCCCGGGATTTTCCAGGATTTTCCCAGGATTTCCCCGGGGATTTCCCGGGATTTTCCAGGATTTTCCCGGGATTTCCCGGGATTTCCCGGGATTTTCCAGGATTTCCCGGGATTTCCCAGGATTTTCCCGGGATTTCCCGGGATTTCCCGGGATTTTCCAGGATTTTCCAGGGGATTTCCCGGGATTTCCCAGGATTTCCCGGGATTTTCCCGGCTCCCACTGACCTGGAGGGAAGTTTTCCCAGCGGGAGCAGCCTGAGGGCCCCGCAGGAGGGGCGGGGGCGCGGCCGCGGCGCTTCCAGAGGGAGCCGAGGAAAGCTGGAAAAAGGCAAAAGCGGAAAGAGAGAGGCGGGATGAGGCTGGAAAAGCGGGAATAGAGAGCGGGAAAAGCTCGGGAAGGGATCCGGCTCCTCCTCCCGGACCTGAGAGAGGAGGGGGTTCGGGAATCACAGGAGAATCCTTGGGAATAGAGGGAAAATCCTTGGGAATAGAGGGAAAATCCTTGGGAATGAGAGGAGAATCGTTGGGAATGAGAGGGAAAGTTCTTGGGAACAGAGGGAAAGTTTTTGGGAATTCACAGAAAAATCCTTGGGAATTAAAGAGAAAATCCTTGGGAATGAGAGGAGAATCCTTGGGAATCAGTGGGAAAGTCTTTGGGAATGAGAGGAGAATCTTAGGGAATAAAGGGAAAATCCTTGGGAATTCACAGAAAAATCCTTGGGAATCAGTGGGAAAATCCTTGGGAATCAAAGAGAAAATCCTTGGGAATGAGAGGAGAATCTTTGGGAATAGAGGGAAAGTTCTTGGGAATTGACAGAAAAATCCTTGGGAATCAGAGGAGAATCCTTGGGAATAGAGAAAAAGTTCTTGGGAATAGAGGATTTTTAGGAATTCACAGAAAAATCCTTGGAAATTAAAGAGAAAATCCTTGGGAATGAGAGGAGAATCTTTGGGAATCAGTGGGAAAGTTCTTGGGAATGAGAGGAAAAATCCTTGGGAGATCACAGAAAAATCCTTGGGAATTCACAGAAAAATCCTTGGGAATCAGTGGGAAAATCCTTGGGAATGAGAGGAGAATCTTTGGGAATGAGAGGGAAAGTTTTTGGGAATAGAGGGGAAGTTTTTGGGAATTCACAGAAAAATCCTTGGGAATCAGTGGGAAAGTCTTTGGGAATTAGAGGAGAATCCTTGGGAATAGAGGGAAAATCCTTGGGAGATCACAGAAAAATTCTCAGGAATCAGTGGGAAAATCCTTGGGAATTCACAGAAAAATCCTTGGGAATCAGAGAGAAAATTCTCAGGAATCAGTGGGAAAATCCTTGGGAATTCACAGAAAAATCCTTGGGAATCAGAGAGAAAATCCTTGGGAATTAGAGAGAAAATCCTTGGGAATAAAGGGAAAATCCCTGGGAATTATTGGGAGAATCCTTGGGAATTCACAGAAAAATTCTCAGGAATTTGTAGGAAAATCTTCGGGAATTTGGGACCTCAGGATTCCCAGAATTCCAGGACAAAAAAAATCGGGGAAAATCCTTGGGATGTTGAGAAATTCGGGAGAAATTCCCGGGAATTGGTGGGAAAATCCCGGGAAAATCCTGGGAAAGGGGACACAGCAAGAGCTGAGAAATCCTGGGAAAAAAGAGTTCAAAATTCCCAGGAAAAGGGAATTAAAAATCTTGGGAAAAGAGCAGTGAAATACCGGGAAAAGGGATAAAAAAATCCCAGGAAAAGGGGTAAAAAATCCAGAAAAAAGGTTAAAAAATCTCAGAAAATGGCTGTAAAATCCCAGGAAAAACCACAAAATCCCAGGAAAAGCCACGAAATCCCAGGAAAAGTCACGAAATCCCAGGAAAAGAACAACAGCAGTGAAATCCTGGGATAAGAGCAGTAAAATCCCGGGAAAAGCGGTAAAAAATCCAGAAAAAATGCTAAAAAAATCACAGAAAAGGGATAAAAATCCCAGAAAATGGCTGTAAAATCCCAGGAAAAGCCACGAAATCCCAGGAAAAACCACAAAATCCCAGGAAAAGAACAACAGCAGTGAAATCCCGGGAAAAGAGCCATGGAATCCCGGGAAAAGGGGTAAAAAATCCTGGGAAAAGGGGTAAAAAATCCCAGGAAAAGGAATAAAAATCCTAGAAAAGTGCTGTAAAATCCCAGGAAATGCCACGAAATCCCAGGAAAAGAACAACAGCAGTGAAATCCCGGGATAAGAGCCATGGAATCCCGGGAAAAGGGGTAAAAAATCCAGAAAAAAGGGGTAAAAAATCCCAGAAAATGGCTGTAAAATCCCAGGAAAAGCCACGAAATCCCAGGAAAAGAACAACAGCAGTGAAATCCCGGGAAAAGAGCCATGGAATCCCGGGAAAAGGGGTAAAAAATCCCGGGAAAAGGGGTAAAAAATCCAGAAAAAATGCTAAAAAATCCCAGAAAATGGCTATAAAATCCCAGGAAAAGCCACAAAATCCCAGAAAAAACCACAAAATCCCAGGAAAAGAACAACAGCAGTGAAATCCCGGGCTAAGAGCCGCGGAATCCCGGGAAAAGCGGGAATTCCCACCTTGGGCGCGGGCGCTTCCTTCTGGCTCTGGCTCTGCCTCAGTTTCTTGAGCAGCACCAGCTTGGCCTCCTCCAGGCGCAGCTCCTCCTGCAGCTGCCGGATCAGGCGCTCCCGCTGCTCCGGGCTCCGCTGGAAACCCGGGAAAAACCACAAACCCGCGGCAGAGAGCGGAGACACGGCACGGTGAGAATTCCCGCAGCACCGGAGGTGATTCCATCCCGGGTATTCCCGGTGATTCCCACCCGATCCCGCTGATTCCATCCCGGGTATTCCCGGTGATTCCCAATGATTCCATCCCGGGTTTTCCCACCCGATCCCAGTTATTCCAGGCTGATATTCCCACCCAGTCCTGGGTTATTCCAGGCTGATATTCCCGGTTATTCCCACCCAATCCTGGGTTATTCCAAATGATCCAATCCCAGTTATTCCCATCCAATCCCGGTTATTCCAGGCTGATATTCCCACCCACTCCTGGGTTATTCCAAATGATCCAATCCCAGGTTATTCCAGGCTGATCCCAGGTCATTCCAGGCCAATATTCCCGGTGATTCCCGCCGCCATTCCCGGTGATTCCCGCCGCCATTCCCGCTGATTCCCTCCCGGTTCCCGGTGATTCCCCCCAATTCCCGCTGATTCCCTCCCGGTTCCCGGTGATTCCCCCAAATTCCCGCTGATTCCCCCCAATTCCCGCTGATTCCCGCCGCCATTCCCGGATTTCGGGGCTCACCAGGAGGCCGGGCCCGGGCTGGGG